GAGCTGAACAATCTGCACGCTCTTATGGCAGTTGTGTCAGGCCTACAGAGTGCTCCTATCTTCAGACTGACTAAAACGTGGGCGGTAAGTGAGCAGTGGGACATTGGAGGGATTTTAATGCATTCTTAAAAAAAATACAGCATTCTCTAGCTTATTTTCAAGCTTGCAATAATTATTACAGATCTAATCTTCCTGTACTACATACATAATGTTTCTATTGCATCTGAAGTCTATGGTTTCCTGTTGGATTTTTTTTTTTTTTCCATTCTGGCATAGAAATTCCTTTGAAAAATAGTTCCCTGCAGATTCTGCTAAATGCAGAGGCTTTTAATTTGGCCCGAAGCTATTTTGTATTTAGTTGCTGGAAAATTAAGAATGCCAATGTGGGCCATATTTTAATCATTTAGGGGTTTATACTGATGGAATTTTTTTGCTATGGAGAACAGACGTCCAGAAATTAATGATTCAGTTTCCATAGAAAGATCTGTAGTTTCTCTTACTGATAACTGAATCCAGCAATCTTCATCAGTTTTCAGGATGGTTTTCATAGTTACTGCAGCTGCTCTAACCATTGTATTTCTTAGGTGGTCTTCTGTACAGTTATGTGAGAGGCATTCTTTGGAAATGTTTTTTTGACATGTTTTCTGACTAGAATTAATAGTATTTTCATGTGGTTGCATCAGTTGGACATTCGGAGCAACTTTTGCTCATTGATACCTCTGAGTTGAGTAAACCTTGTTTGATCCAGCTATCCATTGGGTAGTTACCCAGTCGTACAAACAGATGCATTTTCAAATGTGATGAAAGTGATCAGATGGCTGAAATGCTTCTCTGCAGGGGATCTTTACAGATAGACCATTAAAATAAGGAAACAAACTAAACTTTCTCTGTAGACATACCTTACGTATTGTGTATTACAAAATGTGTTTCTGTCATTCTGCCTCCTTCTCCACCCAAGGTAGGAAAATCTCAATTCTAGTGTTGCACAGCTGATGATTACCAGAAATTAATTAAAAGCACTCCTGCCAAGATACTCATCTAGAATTCAGTGCACGTTTTGCAAACGTGCAGTTAAGTAAGATGTATTCCTTCAAATCACTCCAAGAAAACCTTAATGAAGCTAAGACTTCAGAACATTCTTGTGGCAAACTTCTGCTTTTCTGGTTTTGTCATTGTGGTGCTTCAACCACTTTACTTAGCAGTGATGAGAAATGGATTTGTGTGTATGACTCAAGATTAATACATACTGTTTCTGTATTAGTATAAATTTGTTAGCTGCTACCATGATTAAACCATTTGGATTCACGATTTCTTTCCTACTTCATCTTTTACACTTTTTGTGTTGTTGGGTTCTCTGCACTTCGGTCGGGCACGAACTGGAGACCTGATGTGAATTGCACCATAAGCACAAGGGAATCTCTTATAGGCTTTACTTATTGTTAGAGATTGTTCAAAGAGCCTGAAATGATGTATCAGACTTTGTGCAGCTCTGTATGTTTCTTTGAGGAAAATGCAATTAATTGAATTCAAGTTTGAATTTGCACTTGCCATACCTTCCAGTGCACAAAAGACAGAAAGACTTCCAAGCATGATATGCAGACAAAAGACATATTTTTTAATATTATTGAAAGCAAGCTAATCTAGGCTGATCAAAATGAGGCCATCTTTGAGGAGATAAAGTTTAAAAGCTAAACGTAATGTCCCAGTGGCTGGGAAGAAGTCATGGCCCCTTACTGTTGCTTTTGTGGTTGTTTTCTTTCTTTTTGTCAAGCAATTGGCACGTCCTCATTGAAACTGCAGACATGAGTTACTGCTCATTAGAATATTGGAAGCAAAGCTAACAATGTAAGTTAATTGCTGGAATGTGAAAGACCAACATGTCTTGGAAAACAAATTCCTCTTTAAAAGTGATTTTCTTCTGAAAGACTGTTGAATTCACTAATAAAGATTAAGATGAAGGCAACATTGGTAGAAAAAGCAGTTATTTCAGTAGTGAAATTAGAACTTGAAGGTTTATTTCAATTCTGTTATGTCACATGAGTTGATCTTTATTTGAAAAAGGAAAGGGTATGAAAGCACTAAGTGTTTTGCACCTTGTAATTCTTCTACTACTGAGGATCTTGTGAGGGGGGAAAGAGTGATTGGGAGGCTAGGACACCAAGCCTTCTGTCAAAATGTTCACTGTAAACATCTTACACTTCCTTTGAATTCTGGCCCAAGCTGAAGTGAAGCCTTTAATGTGGCTTTGCAACAGTAGTGCGGTTAGATGTTTCAAAAAGACATTGTTTAGTTTCTCAGTTTTGCAAAGAGAGCTCAGTGTTCAGTTAATACTGTCAAAGGAAGGTGTTGGGATGGGGGAGAATAGGCATTGGAGGAGATCATGACTTTGGTATTTTAAGTGGAGGTCGCTGTAATACTGATAAGATCCAGTAAAGTTGCTAGCTGGTGGAACAATAAATACAGCCTGTATTCAAGTCTTCTGTATGCCCTCTATAGAGAAAAATGGATCAAATCTTCACACTCTTCCAGCGCATCAAGTATGTGGATGTCTATAGCTGCATTCGTTTTATTATTTGTAGTCTGTTTAAGGATATTTATCAGGTTTTAATGATATGATTTTGTTCTTTGAAAGACTAATTTGTTAAAATAGTTTTCAATTCAAGAATAAGAACATTTGGAATTTGGGTTTTTTTTGAAACTGGATTAATATAGAACTTGGTATTTCTGACAAGCAAACCTTAACTTTAAAGATCAATGTAGTGAACAAACTGCTACTTTCAAATACTACAAAAGTGGACAAATGTGTGAAGTGATGTATTTTAGCTAGATTAGTCATGAGAAAACTTGTATTATTTCAGAAGGATCACCAGGGCACCAAAGTTTATATTTGACTATTTTTTTAAAAAGGCTTATTTAAATTTGACCACTGAAATAGCACTTTTCTATATCTGTCCTTAACGTATTTCATCCATAAGGAGTAAATGCTGTAATTTTAAGCAGTCGTACTTGAAAACAAGTCACCAAAAAAGGGGGAGAGAGGGAAACAAAAGAATTAAATGCATGCACTTAAGGGTAAAACTTTGAGCAGTCGTAAAAATGACACTTCATCTCAACTGATTCTGCCTTTTTTTTTTTTTTGTAGTTACTGAGTCGGAAGGATAAAGCCACTTTTGAAAAGCTGGAGTATGTTATGAGTAAAGAAGATAATTACAAAAGGCTTAGAGATTACATCAGCAGCTTGAAGATGACTCCATGTATTCCCTATTTAGGTAAGCTGAAGTATTTCAAATGGGAAATACTAATGAAAAACCTTTCTGCAGTGATTACACAAACTGAACAGTGACACTTAAACGTACATGGAACAACTTTAATACTTCAGTAAAGAATATAGAACCACCAGTTGGTTCTGTGTATTCTGTATTTGGCAAGAAATAGCTTCACCAGCTTCAGGAAGAAAGTTGCTATTAAACCTCACAAACACTTCAAGTTTTACATACAGGATCAGTTTTCTAGTAAATGGTTTTCCCATATGTTGTATAGGTACGCTGACTTCTGGAGAAGTGCTTAAACTATTATGCTTGCTAGCCCTCTTGAAGAGCTAAATATTTGAATGTTACAGTAATGCTGGGCTTTAATTTATGAGAAGCTTTAAATCACCAGCCTCTGATAAATAAATGCAGGTTTTAAGGTTTGGAACGTGCTAAAATCTGCAGCTATTGTTGCATTCAGTTATATTAAGATGACAACTAGATATTTACTACTGACTCATTTATGGGATAATTCAGTAACTGATATTATATCTGTGAAAGCTAGATAAATGCTTAGTATGAATTGTTTTGGCTTCCAAGCTGATCTAGTGTCACTCATTGTCTCAACGTTTTATGTTGTTCCGGGTGATTCTGTTCTTATAATGTAGCTTTTCTTTGCTACCGTCAGGTGTCAGTGGTTATACAAAATTCAGGAAATGTTTACTCATTTTTTAACTTCTCTAGAAAAAAAAAGAATTATACCCCTGTTGATTTCAATGCTCTCGCACTTAAATTTAAGGTGATAGCTGTGTTTCATTAAAATGTAATCTCTTTGATGATTGATCCTACTTTTTAATATTAGCTTTTAAAAAATAAAATTCTTAATGCTGTGATCAATGTATTCATCACAATATTGCATCATCTGCTTCATTGCTTGATGTGAGCCACGTTGCCATCATTTTTGTTTGTAGCTAGAATGCTTCTAAAGTGCATAATAGTTGCATTAAATTCGTGCTTTGGACTTGAATAGGAAGAAACACTTTACTCTGCAGAAGTAGTAGTAATTATAAAGATCAGTCCTATGGTATTTGTCATTCTGTCCTCATTTTTCATTTCCATTTTACATCCCTCCCAGAATATTGGTAATTGTTCGTGCCTATAATGGAACCTTGAAATACTCAGCATAAGCCTGTTTTGTCTGTTGTATGTGTGTGTGAGAATTGTCAGCATGGTGCATATCACACACATCCTGTTTGTTAACAGAGCTATTAAAACGAGGCCTGAATTAAAAGGGGCCAAAAACACCAAACAGAATGTCATGTAATTAATAATAGCAGTTTGTACTTTACCCATTCATCCATGTGCTTATATACGATCTGCGTTTCGTTCTGAAATGGAATTTCTAGCTTTCTAGAAGCTTTTTACCCTATATGCTATGATTTATTAGATATGAAGCCAGGTTCAAATCGTTTCCTTGCCAATTACAGAGTCTCAAGCCAGCCTGCTTTTAGATTTTTTCCAAATCTCGTGATACTCTGTCCTGTGCCATTATGGTTCTCTAAAATCTACTTCTATGCAGAGAATTATTTACACTCTGGTCTGTTTGTCAGGCTTTTTTAACATACTGTCCTACTACCTGCAAGTCTATATTTAGAACATTGGTTTCCAAATTTTTAGGGGATTTTTCAGGTTTTCTTCTGTTACAGATGGTTTCCTCTTCATACATGAGAAACTCTGTGTAACTTTTTGGTTTAGAGTAAGTTTTTGGCTTAACTTAATAATTTATTGAAGCAAATATTTTTTAGGAAGAAGGGGGGTTTAGTGCTCTGCTGTGACCAGCTGTAGTTAGTGTTTTGTGACATGCTTTGCCATGGTAGGAATTCTCAGTAATGACACAGAGTGTCCTCTGAGCCTATAATTCTCATAAGAAAAAGCAAATGCCCACCGATGCGTTCCTCTAGAATTAATGTTGTAAGATTTATATGTGTGGCCAAACAAACAAAAAAATTGCTTTGCAGCTACAGTCGTGATGAATCTGCATCCATCTTGGAAGGTCTACTGCGGACTCCTACTTTTCTCATTTGATCAGAGTTTTTTATCTTCAGAAACACCCGAGTAGACTTGCAGGAGTATTATTCTAATGTTTCTTTCCCAAGGAGTTTATACTGACCTGAGTGTAATATGGGACAGGTGAACCAAACTTGCTTGCTTTCTGTCTTAAGCTTCCCAGCTGCAAGTTACAATTTCTGGAAGGATGGTTTTCTGCTGTTATTTCTAGTGTCAGAATCATCTGCAGGTGTATTGCTGCTCCTTGTTCAAAATGTGTGCAGAAGTCTACCAGAATAGCAGTTCTGAAGATGGTACGTGCTGCAGAGGGGATGAATCATAAAGTCCTTTCCTTCTGCAGAAAACAAGGGGTGGGGCTCCCTGCAGTGTTCACACAGAGGTGCTCAGGTTTCTGTTATCCCTAACCTGCTCTTCAGAAGAGTTCAGAGAATCAAATCTTCTATAGTAACTTTTGGAAATCCCTTCCAGAGCAATGCTTGCCTTGGTGGTGAAGGGCACTGTTTGGAAGGCAGTGAGCACATATAGGTATCTCAGCTGCAATTTCCAGGACTAATGTTTTACCCTGAAGAGTTCTAGATTTGTCCATGCAACCAAATGCGGATGTTGGATGTCTTTCAGGTTTGTTTTTTTTTTTACTGTCTTAGTATTATGGTTTAAAGTTTAATTGCTTTATTTTGTAGCCTTTGCAATGGAGGTGGTTTCTGAGCCACAGAAGTACAGATTGTTTTCTTACTGCTTACCACAGCTCACTGTGGACAAGACAAAGACATTCTTCCATACTTACCAAGAAAGCTTCTCAGTTCCCTGCAGCAACAAGAAATGTCTTGATTGCAGAGTTCTTGAATGGCAATGAGAAGCAGCATGTGGTCTGTGGGCTCCTAACCTGAATGTGAGAGCTAAAAGCTGTTCACAGGGCAATAAATTGGTGCAGTATTAAGTCCTCATTGTCTGGTCAGGGATGTGTTATCACTGCTGAATCACCTGGACCACTAGAGTAGTCAGAACAAATGGCAGCTGTGTATACGATGTTCTATTTTGCATTGGAACAAATGCACTTCTCAGGAGTCTTACAGAATTCTGTCAGATCCGAGGTTGTGCAATGAAACAAGTGAGCCACATCATGAGAAGTGAGGTTTTTATTTAACTAAGCAGTACTACCCTGTGAAATACTTCCTTATAGCTGTCTTTCAGGATCTATATCCAGAAATGGGAGAACAGATTATCAAAGTGTTCATCTGCTGACCATTCAGCTACTTTGGTGATGTTGCTTGCAAATAAACTTTGGAAACATTTTTGCAAGCTGTTTCTGGCTTTAACAGTTTAAACATTTTCAAGGTCTGTTTGGTTATATTTGAACTGGCCGTACAGGAGTGGTGAAAGCTCTGTCCTTCTGGGACAGTGCTTCTCAACGTCTAGTGCAATAAGCTTGAGGGATGCTGCTACAACCTCTGTGGAAAACTGCTGCAGAAAAGTGAGAGACAAAGCACGAAAACATAATCATTTACACTGCTTAGAACATTCAGCCCCAGAATTACTGATAGTATTGTAAGCATTTGAAAGTAGAAGTTTGTTGTGGGTTGTAAACCAACTTGATAAAGAGGTGTTACGTTCTCCCTCCTCGTAACCATAAACTGGCAACTTCAGAGGAGTTCTTTCCTCTTATGGCATTTGTGCAATCGGGAGCTTTGAGGTATATTTGTAGTAATGTTTAGTTGACTTCATTCTGTAGTTTGAAATTAAGGGAGGCTGTTTTAGATGTCTAATAAGATTTAATTTAAAGGCTGACTGCAAACTGATTTCACCAAGGGATTTCTGCAGAACACACCTTTCACTGACTGTGCTGAATAAACACATGCTGTTTTTGTAGCGGGCAATAGATTCTTGTGGTAAAACAAGATCTCTTCCAAGCAGATGAAATCTGTAAGTTGAAGTAACTAGAGCTGACAGAAGTGTTCATTAAAGACCATTTCCCAGGTCATTTTCAGTTTTTAAACTTAACTGAACTGCTTTTCTAACTAGCTACCACAGAAAAAAAGAGTAGAGTATAGGTGGCTTGAATTTTAAGCATCTGCAATTGAGAAAGCATTTTGTAGAACACTCAATCAATGAGGTCTGTACAACGTCTGTAACAAACAAATACCCCTTACATGAAGTCCAATTTCAGAACTGTAATCTTAAATAACATCTGTTAATATTCTTGCAAGTCAGGAATGAAATACGCTGGAACTTGATTCATTTTTTTTCTCCTTCCCCCACCCTCAGCTAAATAGTGTTGAAACTCACTGACTTCAATCCCTGTCCAAAAAGATGAACTACAATCCTTAAAGCCGTATACGACCGATTAAAATATAGAGGGAACGTGCTTTGAAACCAAAATGCTCTTTTCTCTCCTCTGAATTACAAATGATGTTTTGCAGAGCTATTGGTGTTGATTAATTTGGGAACAACAATAATATTAAATTCTTCTTTTAGCTGTTACTATTTCTTAGGCTAAGTGGGGCAGAGTTCTTTTAAAACATGAAGTGCCAAAGAAATGTTTGGGTTGCATTTCAGAGCAGCATATTTAGCTTTGTGTGGTATCAGATTAAATTATAGAAGCTGTATATCTGGTTGCAGCTGTTTAATAACTTTATACTAGGAAGAAGATTTTCATCTCAGACTCCGATAGCTTAAAGGAGCATTTGGTTATGTCAGATTTTGGAAGTATATCCAAATATAGTTTTGGTGCAGTACCTTGTATGGCTTTTGTTGAAGGTTGGGGAAGTATTTTCTAATCAACTTCTCAAATTACATGTTAATCCCAGTGGAAGTCAGATATCCAGAAGATAAAAACATTTAATATAGATAATATTAGAGTAATATACACATAGGGGAAGGGAAATATTTGTGTCATAAGAGCAATCCACTAGTTTTGGGTGTCTCGAAGCTGATTCCTGATCTATGTCAGCAGGAAGCTATGTTGGTATGATCCAGGCTGACAGGTAGAAAACTTTTGTTACTATTGTGAGACTTGATTCTTCTCTAACCTAACACGTGTGAGTATCCATTCAGACCTCATCACTCCCAATGGAAGCAGGGGAGAATCTCCACCTGTAAAGTCCTGATTTTATCATCGGGACTTTTCCATTTTGCCATCAAAGTTCAAAGTATCAAAAGATGGTTTTAAGTAGGGTGAATGATTTGATTGTCTTGAGTTTTTATCATCCATTTCATAGAACTGTTCTTTTTCTTTCTTTGTGTAAGCGTTGAACAGAAGTTGTGACATTCAGATCTTAGGGAATTCCTACACCATTAAGAAATTTATGTTTAATTCACCACTTCATTTTGAAATAATTATTTGTAGCAAAATCTCCTTCTGTTGGAAAGCTAGGATGTCTTCAGTTTTTTAGGTAGCTTCTGGGAGTAAGTCCTAAACATTAAGTCAAATTTTCATTGCAAGTTATACTAACACTTTTAAATAAATTGTTAAATAACTGATTAATTTTCACATTAAAGCAAGACAATGTCATTTCACATATTTACATTTAAGGGTTGAACTGGTCTCAAGAAGCATAAGCTTTTTAAGCGATGAGCTGATATCTTTTCATTTATCTGGACATCTTTTTTTACCAGCCTTAAAGATTGTTTACATGAAGTATGTTGGGCTTGAACATAGATAAATACGCATCACAAATGTGAACATCTGCTTGTGTTGAATGTATGCTTAAAAAACACTGTCTGTTACAGTAGAAAAGGTTTCTTTAATTAAAAAAAAAAAAAAAAAGGCAAGGGGCAACTGGGGAGAAAGGAAAATAGTAGACCTGCATTTTGCAGGGACAGATTGTGCAAAATAATGATTTGAAAGTAATATTTTATTTTTCTGTAACTCAAGCACCGATAAGTTTATACTTGATGGCTTGAGCACTGTGGGATTTTCCTCCTCAGTCTATAGGTCTGATCATCATTTGAACTGCTTTCAAGGAGTAGGAACCTCCCCGGTACTCAGCCCAAAATATTCCATCCTGGTACTTGCTCCTGTAGTGGCCTCCTCTGTACCACACCCCGTTCAGATTGGAGTGTGCACATGCATTGTACCACCAGCCTCCCTTGTGGAAATGAGCACAGTTTCCTGTGGAAGAGAAAGAAGTAGGTAAAGTCACTGTTAGTACAGGAGAAACACAAGAGATCAGGAAACACTTTCACATTTTCACATTCTGGTTGTTTCTCAGAGGGGATTTTCGACGTCCTGTTGCAGTCATATCAGTTGCTGCTTCTATCTAAATTCTGTATTCTGCTGTAACTACTATTGTCTGGAGGGAGGTAATTAACACAGTACTTAACGTGACAGCTGAAAACTAAAGAGATCGACTCTTCTCAGAATACTAGCAGTGCTTCTCAGTGAGCTAACATTCAAAGAGCTTGGGTTGTGTGCTGTTCAGAAATACTTCTGTGGAAGTAATGTGAATTGATGCAGTCCCAAGCAGCACTCGGGTCCACGGTTCCACAAATCGCTGCTTGCTAATTGTACATTTACTCTATGAGACTTCTATGAGTTTGCAGAGTTTGTGTAGCTTTCTGGTTATTGACAGCTGAGGAAAAAACAGAGACTAATTCTTAAGCACAGTTCTATTATTACACTCCCCTGCTTCTTCTCTTAACCCTAAGGCTATAGGATGAGAGTCAAAATGAAACAACAAAGGCTTCTTTAAGGAGAATTAAATGAAGTGATCTGCCCATTTCTCAAGTATGGTCATGTAAGTCACGTAACTAAGAGCCTGTACACAGCTGCAGTTCCTTTGGTGCTATTCAGAAGCTTCTGTTCATGGAGGTTGTATTTATGTGGCCTTGCTATTCTGGGAGCTCACCTGCAAAGGAGTCCTGACTGCAAAGAATCACATGCTTGAGGTGAGGTTGTCATTGAGCTAATTTACCAAGTCAATGCAATTTTTCTTGATCTATTTTAAACATCTTTTAGTAGAGTTATTCTATCAGAACTTGCATCGTTTTTCTGGTATTTTTTCTTTAAGGATAATATCACTGCTGGAATCTGCTGTGTTTGTTTTTCAAGTACGTGGTAATTGCCTTACCTGAATACATATCTCTGTCTCTGTCCAGTGTTGTGAACTGCTTTCCATTGTGCCATATCATGGAATCGCCTGCGTTTCCTTGGTATGTTCCTAGGCGTAGCCTGTAGAATTCGTTTTCGGGCTCCAGACGGAAGCTGCTGTATTCTGCATAGACTTTCTTGTTGCTCCAGTCCTCTAATTCAATCAGTAGTCTGTAATTATCCTGATTGGTAAGCATGTAAATATTTTCTAGTCCCAGCCAGTACTCTCCATCAATGTTTCCAAATCCTTTCTGTACAAAAGATAAGAAGGAGATGTTCACTCCAGTTTTTCTTGTTTGTCAGGCTTTTATCAGCAGGAGTTTTATAAACCAATGGAACTGGCGTAGTGAGCACCTTTTAAGCTTTAGGATGAGTATTCAACACATGCATTTAAATGCTTTATTTGGTGCCTTTGGCCATTTATTTACTGCTATTTATGAACTGCTAGCAGAATGACATAGTACCAGAGTCATTAAAGGTGGCAATGTTGTCAGTTGCGTTAATGGAGCTGTGCAGGCACGCAAAAATAGAATGGGAGACATCCATGCTATCAGCAGTGCAGCCTGCAGTTTGCTTAAGTCAGCTGCATGCAGTAGTGTGCCTTTAAGTGCTTAAGGTTTGGTAATCACAGAATCACAGAATTGCCAGGGTTGGAAGGGACCTCAAGGATCATGAATCTCCAACCCCCCACCACATGCAGGGCCACCAACCTTCCCACCTAATGCTAGACCAGGCTGCCCAGGGCCCCATCCAATCTGGCCTTGAACACCTCCATGGACGGGGCATCCACAACCTCCCTGGGCAGCTGTTCCAGCACCTCACCACTCTCTCTGTAAAGAATTTCCCCCTGACATCCAACCTAAATCTTCCCTCCAATAATAAGGATACTAAGTAATAAGGATACTAAGAATACCATTGCAGTTGAACGTCTCTATTTAATTTGAATGTTGTATTGCTTGATTTCAGCTTATCTCTTAACACATTGGGGCCAACTAAAATGAAAAATCACTTAGGAGAAAGCTTGATCAAGATTGGCCTTCTGTCAAACACCAATTATAGACTCTTAATACACTTCCAGTGTATTATGTTAAAAATGTTTATGGCTACTTTGTAAGATGCTGTAACTGCCTTATGATATTTTGAGGTATGTGGGGAAAACCCACCCACCATTCTCAGAAGTAAAGACCTTGAACAACTGTTGAAGAATAATGATTAAATTCTACAAGTATAGTGAGGAAAAAAAAAAAAAAACAGGTGAAAATCTCTTGTCTTTTCTTTGCATAGATGATACTTTTGGTCCAATTGAGTTAAATGTCTGTTTTCTCTTAAATATAACGAAAGCCACACCTGGAGGTCCATTTGAGGTAAGCACACAGGAAAGAGCTGTCCTACATCTATGAAATTAGAACATGATTATTTAAAAAAACAAACAGATTTTCACATTTTTTGCTAAGGGTGTAATTATTCCAAGGCAATATGGTTTTTTTGGCCTAGCTGTATTGCCTGATATCATAATATGTCATAATATGCATAGTATAATGTAATACATTATATATGTATGTATTACATTATATAATGTAATAATATCACAATGTAATGTAAATAATATACAATAATGTAAAAATGTCATATAAGAACGAGTTTCCCTTCACAAGCCCTACATCTTGCAGAGTTTCTAATATAATTTTAAAGGTAAGAATGATTTCTTTTAATTCATCACTAAAAGCGTTATTAAGTTGAGGCCTTGATTCTACAGATCTATTGGTATACTTAAGTGAATAATTTCACTAGCTGAAATTACTTATTCATAGAGGAGACAATTGAACTCTCTGAGTACTTATTGTAGTTTGTGTGTTAGTGGAAAGCATGTGTTCAATTAGGTCCTTGTAATTAATGACTTCCCAGTCACTGTCTAGAGTAACATCTCAAATGTTGTTGTGCATTACAAATAGGCTGTTTCAAACTGTGAGTCAATACAAAGTTAAGCAATGCATTCAATGAAATAAGACGTTCCTACTGAAATACACCCATCTCCGAGGAGTCCCCCTTCTGCTTCTGTGCAGTTAATTTCCTTTTTAGCTTAAGTGACTGCCTATTTTCATCTCTTCAGTATTTACCATTCACTGGAAACATTTGGGATGAAGAATTGCATTAGGAATGTTAACACCTTGACTGCAGTAGATAACATACTCAGTGTCACACCAAAATGAAGGTGCTCATTTTCAGCATTCCAGAAGTTACCTTGTAACTGTCCCAGTTCCTGAAAAAGTTGACAGATCCATCTGTTCTCTTCTGAATAACTGCCCATCCTCCAGGGTCTAAGCTGTTCTCGCACCATAACTGCATTGGTTCGTTGCTGTTTTCAGGTTTGATCATATAAATGCCACTGTTGGAATACCCAGCATCTTTGGCATGTTGGCAGTCTTTGAACGGACCTTTATGGAGAGAAATTCTGTAAGCGTTCAAGGTTGGCTGTGCAGTGTACATTGTTCCAAAATGTTTGGTTTTGCAGTGAAAGACTTGGAGGTGATGGAAAGTCAGAAATTCAATTAGGGTAAAATTACCGTGAAAAACAGCGTAAAAAGTTGCTTTGTGTGTATACATATAAAGTATAAGAATAAATATATTGTTTTGAATAGAATAATCACTTTGCTAAGCAGATAACGCGCTTCAGTTATCAGCGTGTGACTTTTAACTGTCTCTGGCAAGGATTTATTCCCTGACTCTTGGTGCTGAAGAAGTACATTATGGTTCGCATCGACTGTTTTCTCCTTTACCACTTACACCATAGTTAAATGGCAACTTATTTTGTAGCGTGCTAAATTGAAACTGGTCAGTTGAAAACAAACGTGAAGAAAACCAGACACAAAACACTCACACCAAAACAAAGCCTCCCACACTTGAACACGCAGTATTAGAGAGCAGTGCCAGAACGTACAGGTGTGCAATTTAGGGGAACGGAGTAACCTTACGCTGCATCACTTCTGTTTTTATGTTCTTACCCCGTCCAAGGAGCAGCCTGCTAAATAAATGTAAGTAGGAGTCTGTGCGAGTTTCATGTGCTGTCCGTTTGTGCTACATGTGAAAGTGCTGCTGTGAGGGAGGAAATAGGCAAGTGGTGGCAGATGGCCTTTGAGCAGCTAACGGGGCACATGTACGTGTTTTCAGGTTTATGATTCCAAAAAAGTGCTGCTTGGAAGCTCTATTTTGGAGCATATGAATACAGACTTTACAAAGACTACTTACAGAAGTGCATACAGTAAGAAGCATGCAGCTTACATATCTCTAAATTAATCTTTGCTTTGTTTGCCTTTCACATTTTGATAATATTTTAATTATGTCTGTTCGTGTATCATTACTTCAGTCAAGTTGATTAGAGACCAGCTATTCAGTAAAGCAAAGCGGGCTATGCTCTGATGGCTAGTAAGTGGAGGATGCTTTAAAGGCATTTAAAAGCTCAAACTCAGTAAATCTGGAAATAAATGACCTACTGCTTTCCTTTTTTTTTTTTTTTTTAAGGCTTATTTTCTCAAATCTGCTTGGAAGTTCAGAGAAAATTCTCGTCAGTCACAGAAGAGGCTAATGTGCAAAGAGGCATGAAAGATCTTTAATTAAAAGCAGAGGTTGAGTGAAAGTGACCTTCATTGCACACGAAGCTTCCAAGACAAAAGCAAATTGAAAAACATTCTTTTTTTTTTTTTTTAATGAATATATTCTTAGAGTATTAGTTGCCTGTTACCTAAGTCTATAATTAGCAAGAGATCTGTAGAACATTTCATATTAATTAGCAGGCAGAAAGTTTGTGTATCTGGAGAAGGTGACTTGCGGCTTCTGGTTGCAGCAGTGCCTGCCCACACTGAGCTGTAGTGCTGTGCATACTGTGCAGTCAATATCTGATGTTTTGTCATTCTTTTAGTGCTTGTAATAATAGTTTAGTAAAGAAACACAATAGCTTTGCTATGTGAGTGCTTTCTCCCTGGTTCACAATTAAAATTTCCATGTAGATAGTGTACATTGCAACTTCTTTATGCATCTCCTAGGCTAAGTTTGATGTCATTTCCTTTCCTTGAACTGCCTAGAGTAAAATTGGGCTCTGTATAACTGAACACAGAGGTCACTCTACAAGTATTCTTGTGAAGCAATTATTGCATTAGAAGAAGTGTAAACAGAAGTAGGTTTTTAATAATATCAAACATTGAAAATAGCCCAATTAGACCTGCCATGTATTATTTCCTTTAATTTTCTCTGGAGGAGGAATGAGGGTACATTTTTGCATGAGCGAACTGTGCAGATGTTTGGAGTGAGTTTAAGTGATTTAGCCTTCACAGCAGAACAAATTATACTAGCCAAAGCCAATGAAGCTCAACTGGCCTTAAGATCATAGTAAGATAGTAATTTATCTGCTTTTTGATGCTCAGATTTGTCTGTGTCCATACTGTGAATTGGTCTTGTAGTAGAGTTGACGAAATTCTGCTTTCAGCATTAGGAAATGTATCAAATCCCATGACTTCTGGTGCATAGTCTGAATTTGTTCTATATTTTGAGGAGTAAATCTTGTTACATCCATTTTGATTTTAAATTCCTGGTCTAAGAAGAGATCCATTCCTTGTTCAGTGCAAATGCTGGGATTGTGAAAGAGTGAAAGATTCTCCGCAGTGTTCACCATAGCATTGGTGTGGGTGCAGGGTTTCTGCTTAATCACAAAAGGCTGTGCCTTTGAAATTCTGTTGCTTTTGAGTTTAGTTAAAAATGTATTCTCTGTATAAGGAATAGAAATCTCCTATGATTATGTGATACGTGTGAATAGGAAAGGACCTCTGGAGATCATCTAATCCAACTCCTCCGTGTGTTCTGTAACAGTCTGTTTACTAAGCTTTTGGGGCAAACTGACTTCTTAGATACAGCTTTTAAGGAGTTTTAAGTTAGAAATAACTTGATGGATGTGTTAGTATTTTACTTCTGAAATGTTTTCGACACGTGATTTATTACATTCCACGTTCTGTTGTCTTATCTTGAACTGATGACATAGAAATAATGCTTGTTTAAGCTTCACGCAGAGGATTATGATCAGTAGTAAAGGAAAATCCCCACATAAAACAGGGTATATACTTAAGTTACATTATTGGCTGGGATGTATTAGCAGTAAAGTGGGTTGTGCATGTGGAATTTTCAAGTACCTGTTTAATTTGTAGCTGCTTTTTTTGCTTTAACACAAATGCAGGACAGTTTGGGGATGCTGGCTGTTACCACAAGCACTGAGATAATGGTGAGAACTGAAATTCATGGAAAATTCTTCCTCAATTTCTAGAGCAGTGTTAATGCAAAATAAAGAACTGTTCTGAAAGTAAGATGGGCCTGCTGTTCCCCCAGAGTTTTTTTGAGTTTTGCTCCCCACTAGTGATTGAAAATGCACTTTGACATTTTCATAAACTTGTTGCGTGCAGGTATTTCTTTGAATGATTGAATCTTCCTGAGCATACTTTGTGCTCCTTTGCAAAAATGGATTAAAACTGTGGACTTCTAGGAATTAACATGCAACCTTGAGGCATAGGTTTTCTGGGAAACAGGGAATGGCTGTTTTTTAAAATTATACTTCTGTGTGTGACTGGATGTTAATGCTTTTATATTAGCTGTTCCCTTTGTGTCATGATGTGTGACTTAAATTCTCGTGACATCTGGCATTTGATTTGGGCTTGTGCCTGAATGTTCTAGAGGTCTGAATAAAAGTAGTCATTCTTTACATCAGCAGCTTGTTTGTGTTGTTGTGGGATAATCACAAATAAATGCTTCCCTTCAATTTAGGAACCAAGTTGTAACTAAAGGCAATTTAGGGGTGGACAGAAGGAGTAACTATTCCTGCTGTGCAAGCTAACAGAAGCCAAAAGCAAGAGTTAGTATGGATGTCTATGAAAAACATGAGTTGTGTTTTCTGAATCCTTAATTATTTTTTTTACTGTAATTCTGAAAAAGGTTTAATAGAGTTTTAATTGAAGTCGGGGCATCTCAGTAGTTCATTTTCTTATCAGTAGTTCTGCTTGTAGTAAAAAATGAATTTATGTAATGTTCTAAGGAATGTAATGTGAAGATGTGATAAAGTCCTCTGCATTCATTTTCATAATATTTGTGATATTAACTTGACATCCTACTAACATCAGGTTGTTGTGAACCTAGTTACTCACTTAACATTTTCAAAGTTGAGTGCATCTGATTAGACCCAGCCTTCCTTCATTTGCCCTCTCAAACTTGTTTCACTCTCAAGTATTTCATCCACACCTTAGTCACCGTCCATTGTGCGGTGCTCATCTTAAAGCAGATCAGAACTTAAGGGATAAAATTCTTCCAACAGGAGTAACTTCTGGCAAGTTATGTACGTATAGCTCTAAAGGACATCTACTTAAAATTATTTTCTTAAGGTGAATTGGCTTCTCTTGTATTCACTGTTGCTAGTTACTGTAACGTGTAGTCATTAAGCATCTTCAGAGAAAGAGCAATAGATACTAGAAAGCATATGAATTTTCATTCCCATAAGTAAAACCCAGCTGGAGGTGCAAGCCCCAGCACTTTGTGACTCAAAGGTGTTATTTCACAGATTGCAATTTTAAGCTATAGTTGCAGAAGGTGCATTTTTAGAAATAGCCAATGTTCAGAAATTCAATCTGGAGGAAGGGTTAGTATAGAAGGTACCTCTAATTCTTCATTTTAGTCTTATAATCAGGACAGTTTCCTTCTGAGGAATTAGACAAATAGCAGTAGTTTACTCACCTTCGTTAATTAATGCCAGCGGTGGTACTCTGAAGGGACTCTTTGTCGGAGAAGTAGCTGGATCAGGTGGTGGCCTTACATCTCTGTCCCTGGGGTACCCTGGGTCTCTCTGTATCTCATTGCCTCCCAGGAGAACAGGAGTGTATGGCTGACTGTTGGGAATGTGCTGTGGCACTACTTGGACGAGCGGCGGGGACCCATGGGTGTCCTGCCGTGAGAAGATTCTCAAGCACTGCTCTTCCAACAGGGAGATGATCACAGACTGGTTATTTACAAGGTCAGTCAGTGCTGCATATTTTACTTCAAGCTCCTTGTATTTTGTTGCCATCTTCAACATTTCTGTTGTTACGTTGAGGACTTTATTTTCCAGTTGGGAAAGTTCAAGTGAGTTATCGCGCTTTCGGATTATCTCATGCAAGAGCTGCATGTAGAGTTGAGTGACCCGAGAGTTCATGTTACGGCTTTCTTTCCTCAGCAACTTTACTTCATTCACAATGTTTCCATCCACGTCTACCACCAACTGCAAGATGTCAATCTCGCGTTTTTGCTTGGACAGCACATCCTTCAAGTTCTCTATGTCCATTCTTGTGACTTCGTCTTTTCTGTTACCAGTGCCTGGTTCGTTATTCACACAGATTGGCCCTGTGATTTTTTGTTCTGGGACCAAGAAGGTGTAACCACATTTCTTCCCTTCCTCTCCGCCATCTGTGGAACGAGGATGCCTCCGTTGGGATGTTTTATTGAGGGTCGACGGTTCTGTACAGCGCCCGATAGACAGCAGTAGGAACAACAGCATACCCAAAGTCCATTTCAGTATCTTCATTTTGAAGGAAGTGTGATGACTTAGAAGAGACTGTTGAACAGATAGAACATAATTAATTAGAGCCATAACTAAGGCTCTAGTGCTTAAGCTAACTAAACTGATGGGTTTCATCATGCCTGCGTGCTTGTAGACGAATGTTTGGAGTCTTTTGGTTGCAATTAGATTCTTTTAGGTTAGTTTCAAAGCATACAGTTGCCTACTCACTGTAAGTAAAGCACAAACTTATCGATCGTACCAAGTTGCCTGCAGTATATTTATTGGAATGGAAGTTGGGAAGTGGTGGTTTTAATTTTTCCACAGCTAGTTAAAAAGATTTGAATTTGGATTACACAAACCTTTCTGCCAGTTTCTTAGGTTTATATTAGTATCTATTAGTATCTATAGATACCTCCTGTTAAATAGACTATGCATACGTATCCATTCATATGCCCATGCATTTTTCAAGTTTGTATACACGTTGACATGGTAGACTTGAAAAATACATATATGCATCCACTTTGGGCAATGGTGTTAGGTAGGATATGAGTCAAACAGTTGTCTTAATGTTGATGAGAATTACATATTTGATTAACTTCAAATTTGTAAAGAAAGCCTATCGTGATGTGATCTGTACTTGTATATCCCTGCTTAACTGACTTTACTCTAAACTCAGTACTATCACATATATCTTTGAGGATGTATTTATCCCAGTAACATTAAAGTGTCAGGTATTTTGTCAATTTAAATACCATATTGAAGTATGTCATTCAGATATTAAGAAAATAACCTGTTCTTTTCAACTCTATGTAAATAACTACAATGCTGTGATGAAAATACAAGGATACTTGTAGAAATACGTGTTTTGTTTACTTTGTTTTTAAATATTTGATGTAACTAGCAAAGGCAGCACAAAAGTCAGGAGAAAACCTCATTTCTCAAGTTTAATTTGTCTTATCAAGCAGATTGCTCTTCTCTGTCATCTCAGCTGCAGACCTGGCTTTCATTTGCAGTCTACTGTGAGCAGCTGTACAAGGCCTTGTGCAATGGCCTTTGCATGGTTACGGACAGGAGTCAAGTAAACCCAGAGAAAGTTAGTAATTTTCTTGCAATTCCTGCCAAACTCAAATGTAAGTGCATTTGGCAATCCTGCAGCAGTTACCCTAAAGGAAAAGCAGGCTAATGCTGCTTCCTTTACCTTCAGCTTTACAAGTGATGACTTTTATACCAGGTCACTTCTCCCTGTTCTCTTACTGACTTTAATATTACTGCTGCACACTCCATCTTTTCAACTTCAGAGTAAATGCATGAAGTTTGTACTTTTTTGATTTAACTATGAGCAGTGAATGCAAACTTCAGAATGTGCAATCAGGAATTACATCCTCAATCAGATGGTTCACAATTGCATTACATGTTCTGCTCTGGGGGAGAAGAAAGTATTTGCCTTTAACACATTGTAGAGTAAGAAATGAGAGAATACTTACAATCTTGAGAATGTTTATAATTAGATTTTTTCTATATATTTCACTCTTATTTTGATTATGAACTACTGGTAAATATATATGTATTTCAAAAACAGAACTCAGTTAAAAGTTTTGTTAGTGTGTCTGTACTAAAGGAATACATTCTATTAAAAATATGTAGGGGAAAGTATAGTTTTTCTCTGGGACTAATTGTGTATTTTCCTTTGTCAAATTCAGACTTCAGTAATCACTCAAGCGGTGCTCAGAGTTTGAAGTTCATTAGTTTAAATTTTCACATGAATCGTGGTGATGACATAGGAAACAAAACTGTGTGTGGTGTTGAACTTGAGAAGGATGAGCTAAATTAATAGTCTGAAGTTGGAAAGCCCTGTTGTGTCTCTTAAATTGTTTGTCAGTATTTTCAGTTGAAGGAAAAGTGACTTCATGGTGCACTTTATGAAACTGTAATTAAATTTCAGTATTTTACTATTTCTTTTTTTTTTTTTCACAGCATATAGCAGCTACTTCATTGCCCAACAAGGTGAAGAACATCTGAGTCCCTGGCAGTTGTTTTAAGACCCTGTACACTTACTTAAATAATCAGTGGCTGGGGGAGGAAAAGCAATATGTTTTTTTTTCCCCTGAAGCAGATGAAAACTAAAATGAATATTTGAAAAAATAAAACATTTTGCAGTGCAAACCCCTATTTGACCAAGTATTCTGTAGCAGCCTGCTTTCCACTATCTTTTAATCATTATGTTCATTTTGAACATTTATGCTTGTGTATTTAGTAAAGTTTGAAGTTCTTTGTCAACGTGTGCTGTCAGACTGTAAAATGAATGAAATGGTCTATGTAGCATAACCAAATGAAACTGCTGCACAACATTATGCCCTAGAACTTTTAAAGAATTGAAACATCTTGTATTAAACTCACTCCTTCTCATATGCAAAGATGAGTTTCTTCTGAGAATCTACCTGGTAGGTAACGTGTACTTCCACAGAAAACTTGATGGTGGAAAAAATTAAACATTTCAAGATGTTGTTTGGGGTGCTGGAGCAACTTAATGCTGAGCTTGTCATACAAGAGCTGGTTCTGTGTAACATATTTACCCGGAGCTTTAATCATCTTAGAAGGAAATGAAAGCACTGTTTCAAAAATTTCCTGATGTTCTGGGCAAGCAGCTTAAAAAAAAAAAAATACAAACTGCTTATCCAAAATATCCCAGAACGATAGACTAATACGTAAGACTTTAAAATGACTAATATTAGAGATGGGAAATGGTGTGAGAGTACTTTGTTTTAACTATCTGCACTGCAAACCTTGTGCTTTATTGAGCTGCTGTGAGTGTAATGTTCAGCAGGATGTAGAATTTGGAGACCCACAGCAGAAATTAGGAAATCTGTTCTTTCAGAGCTGATGAAAACCACCTCTCCCTGGGCAGTGTAGGTTGTGATGACTGACTGTAATGGAAATGCTGCAGGTAAACGTGAATATAGGCTTCCCTTTGTATGGAAAGCATGGTGTCAGTATCTATCTTTACCCAGCATATTTATCAAAAGGATTTGGTTGGATAATAAATACTAATCAGGGCCTTTTATATAAGCCTCCATTTATAAACACGTACAACAGGAAGAGAAACAGCCAGCTGAGTTTTTTGTTTGTTTTTGAGCAAGTAAATGATATGGTGAGAGTAATGTTCCTGTGAGAATGATTAATGTGAATCTGAAAGCTTTATTGTTGATGTTTCTCATACACATACATTTTCTCTTAAGCATCCTCTAAGCAGTTAAAATTACTAAAGCCATCTATATTCCCCTACCCCCCCCACAAATAAGCACAGTGTTTTTAGCTCAAAACTGGGTCCATAGCATTCGAAGTGATACTGCTGTGGGGAAAACACTGCGGGGAAAAAAAAAGTTCACATGGATTCCTGATGCATCTGTGTACATCCGTAAATTACTTTCCTCTGTATAAACAAGTGCTTTTCCAGTAAGTGTTCGGTGGAATAACAGGATTGCTTTCAATTGTATTGACTGGAGTCCAGAAATAATAAGTTCTTGGGTTTTGTTTGTCGGATAGATGATGAATTGACTGGCAGAATTCTACTTCTGAGCTTAACAGGAGTCTGATTCCTTTTAGGAAAGGCAATAAAAATATTCAGGTATTTATTTGAAGTACTCACTATAAATCTATCACTTCCTATGATAGGTTCTTAGAAATTCTCTGCAGGAGAGGTTTGTAGACCATGTCATACTAAATATTCTGAAAACTAGCAACAAATGTGTGCATTACTGCAACTTAATGAGGATTTGTTCACATTTGTTTGCACCCATCGTGTTTGGATGGAGCATCTTAACAAGCAACCCCAGTAGACCAGTGCATTCTGTTGTGTTATTTGGGGGCCTCCAAAGTCTGAAGCTGTCAGGCATCTAGCAGTGTTTGCTCTGGGAAGTTCTGCTTCATTCATCGCTGTGTAAATTTCAAGGACCAGACTAATAAGACATGTTATGAGCAGCCAATTAAGCCCAGTAAAATAATAATTAAAACCTGATAATAGCCCGTAGTTATTGGCAGAAGTTTACATGGCATGTTTTTCCATCACATTTCAAACCATTCTTGTGGCAACGCTGTAATATTAATAGCCCATTATTTGCTTAAAGTAAGCTTTTCAAAACTTGAACTCCAAAGCTGGAAGACAGCAAAGGACCAGGAGTTAAAACCTCGCATGTAACCATTTAACTGCTATAAAATTATTGACTCAGCTGTTTTCATTTGGGAAAGATTTAGGAATTGTTCTAAGCAGTGTAAATCAAAAGCTTGGGGAGTAATGAATGGATGTCCAAAGCGTGTAATGTAGGCTTCAGATGGGTTTTTGTTGTTGCTGTTGTGACTTAAGTTGTTCCTTTTAGCATGTAGGAAGCACAAAAGGATAGTTCTAAAAAAAAAAAAAAAAAAGCTCAAGAACTTGGAAAGGCTCCATCTTTCTGTTTGTCAAGGTTGCCTCAGACTTCGTTCCATAGCTACTAAATTTTAATTAAGTTTGCTGCTGTAACTCTCTTTTTTCAGAGTTCACCCTTCACCCTCTTGCCGTGCCGGACGTTTCTGAGGGCTTGTTAATGTGAATACGTAACTTAAATTCTTTTGTATTGTTCTGGATTATTTGCCATAATTTCATTTCAAAGTCAGCATAAAGGAAGGCAAAAGTAGCACTTTGTTTTAACAACTTCTTTGTTTATTTCTCCCTGTACTTTTGTTTTCTGTGTGTAAAGCAGCGTTCTTGTTTTAATCACTGCTTTGTAACTTCATCTTTTCCCCCTCCCAACCCTTCAAGAACTGTAACAAACCCCTCTGTTTAACAAGGCAAACTGTTGCCTTGTCAGTTGCGTTTCGTTTTTATGAAACTGTTTGAAAACAAGCTGCTGCTACATAACAATACGATTAATTTTCTTTTCCCTCTTTACACACTGTGTAGAAGGAAGAGCCTAGTTTGCCCATTACAGCGATTCCTTTGGATTTTCAGCTCCACGATTGCAGTGCTGCAAACTTAATTTTGTTCAGAACCAGTGAATGACTCTGGTTTCTTGACCAGTTGTACAAATCGTGCTGCTTCCACTGCTCAGAAGCAGCATAAATAAAGCTGTAGTTGGAAAGGCACGCAATGATTGTACTTAGAGATGTGCATTGGTTTACTTGGGGTTTCTTACAGTGGTTTTATTGAGGTATCCATTTTCTAGTAATGCTATGTCTGAGCTGTAACACTGGGTGAAATCCAGCTCCCTGAGGTCGATAGCAATTTTGGCTTTTGCTTTCTGGTGGGATCTGATTTTCACATGAATACGTTCACAATATCCAATTGTATGCGTAACAAAGAATCTGGTAGTACTGATTTCTCAGTAACTTTCAATAACATAAAACTTACAGGAGATTTACAGCGGAGCAAATGAAACTTGTTCATCCTTGCAACTGGAATGAGTTAGTCCCTGCTCTTAGGCAGAGTGCTTTATAATTCCTTCCAAGTTTCTCCCAAACGCCACGAAAATGAGGTCTATATTTTACTTGTCAAACTGCTCTCAGGCTGAGAGAGATTGGTTTGTTCATAATTGCCTGTGGATGATAGATGCATGCAGAATTTGCACACAGCTCAAAATTAGACTCGCAAGAAAAGAATAACGTGAAAACTTACCAAGAGGAAAGAATGTTGCAGCTGGTTTGCTTCTGTCGTAGGTGGACGATCCGGAGGCCAAGTTGCCTTTTCTTTCAGTGTTTTCTGATGTTGCGGATTGTTAAGCTGCAGTTGGAGTTGAAAACTGCTTTTGTCTTTCTCTGTTAGATCCAGGCTGTGCTGGGGAGTTGGGTTTCTCCATGCGATAACCAAACTACTTAAATCATTTAAATATAATTGAAGAAAAAGTTCCAGTATGTTTTATTCCGGAGGGAGGGAAAAAAAGCAATGTGTTTTTTTGTGTTTTTTTTTTTTTTTGAAGCTGCGGTGTTGTACTCTCCCATGCAGAAGTGCACTAACCAGCTACAGCTGACCCAGATTCCATATACATCACATTTGGACAGTTTTTTTTAAACAAACACACCAGCCTCAGCCGTTCAGCCCACCTATGATGTCACCGCCAACACGGAGAGCAGCAGAAACTCCTCCTTCGGATTTCCTATCCATACCCTCCAGAAAAGCGGGGGCAGGGAGGCCGAGGAGTCAGGAACAAGGAAAGATTGTTTGCCAGCTGAGGGGAGGGTACCATATGGCAACAGACTGTGCAAGAGTTCAGCAGGCAATTACAAATCAAACATTTTTACTACGCTGCCTAAAGATGCCTTTCAAGTTGTTACAGTGCTGGGCTTCATTTAGAAGAAAGATTCTTTCAGGCTGATAAAACTCCATTTGTGTTGCTGGGAATAAAAGGGGCAGCCTGGCTGGATACAACAGGGAAAAATGAACCATTTATAGTCGAGAAGAATGTTAATAGAATGTCACGTTCAATTCTTGACGTTCCCTTAATGAGAAACAGTTCCAGTTGGTAAATACATGAAGGCTCTGATGCATGTGGGAGATGTTAGAGCTGGCTGTGATGGTTTGGGGTCGATATCAGAGTGTTTGATAACATCTGATTAGGGTTAGAAGTAGAAAAGTAGAACAGAGCTAGTGAGGAATGCAGGATGCAGCTCCGTGAAGTAAAGCAGCAGTTCAGTGCATCGGTTTTACTGTCATCGATTTCTTCACAGCAGACAAACCAGTTACACTGGAAGGAATGACCTTCGTACAATTTCAGGACTGCTTTAGACTTTGTAGAAATGCACCAAATAATTTTAGAGAGCAGCTCTCTACAGCAAAACTCTTGATGGAGCTAAAAGAAAAATCCATGCTGAATTGCTCAAGTCATTCAGAAAGAGAATTGTGCAACTGGCTTCTAAGCTCATGGGTGATACTGCAGGTGCTCGTTCACAGGGAATTTCTTTGATTATAATTAGTAGGCGTGATTGATTTTTATT